GAGGCGCGACAATTCTTTCTGGTGTGCCAGAGATTGGCAACTCCAGGAAGAACAAACACGTGTTTGGTACGCGCCTTCACTTGCCTCATGTGGTTTGTTTAAAGTCGTGCGCAATGGTCCCTCACTTCTCTGACGCTGTTGTTGTTCTCTGTGTGTGTTCTCAACTACAAAATTCAGTTGACTCTCAGGGATGGCCCTACTGAAGCTCGCTTCATAGTCATGGGCGGGTGTGGTCATGCTTTGGTGAATGTATCTGCTGCATACTTGTCACAGCGCTTCCCTTACAGACCTGGCCAGCTCCCACCTCAAATTAACCAGCTGCTTGGCCAGTATGTCAAGTTTGACTGCAAGCTTCCGCTGCCTGGTCTAGGTGGGTTTTCCTCTGGGGAATTTCGCGTCACACAAGTGGTCCCCATAGCAAATGACGCTGAACTTGCTGATCTGCTCGAGTATCACCCTCAGCCTGCACTCCCAGCACCTGTTCATGTTGTCCCACCTGCACATGCGAGCCTTGCATTGGAAGGTGCTGGGACACGTGCAGCTGAAGCTGTTGAAGGAACATCAAGGTTGGCAATGCGATGTGTTCTCCTTCCATTTCTTGCAGACAAGTGTGGGGCACATATTATTTATGCTGAACTTTTACTGTGGTCGCTGTAGACTGTCAAGTGCTGCAAAGGGAAAAGCTAAGGTCTCCGACCTTACACAGCTCAAGGGTCCTGCTCAGGAGTTCCGAATTGGGGACTATCCGCCAAGGTGTTGCGATGACATCTATTTATTTAGTGGTGTCCTTTGTGTTGTGCGCTTTTGTTCCTTGGTTTTGCCCTTACCCTTTTTTGTCTTCTTTTTGGTGCTCTTTTTGAAGCGATTCGATGGTGCCCCTCTTTGCCAGTGATCCAATAATGTCGGCCAGTGCTCCTTATCAACAGGTTTACAGTGCCTTGCCCCAGGGGGCGCACCGGAGTGGTGTTGTAATTAGAACTGAGTCACAGGCTGCTTTGTCATGCCATGATAGTGGTCGTTCTGCTGGCCTCAATGTTCCAGGAGAAACTCCAATGGGTTTTGCGCTGGCTGATACAAGCAATGCCCCGCCAGGTGCTGCTCATTCCTTGATGCATGGTGTATCAACCCAAAAGACACAGGAGGGCGAGTTTGTGATTGGTGGTGAGCCTCCAGCTCCTTTGCCACGCCTTACTGAACATCCATCCCCTGGCCAAGCTGTCGTGGAAAATACTTCAGTGACTGATAGTTCAGTTAATGCAAGGGATGTGCACCCAAGTTCCCTAGCTGTCAGTTTGAAGACACCCAAGCCTGACTCTGTCTCCTCTCCTGGGAAGGTCCTTACCTCTGCCAGTGGATCACACTCAGCTTCGTTGTGAGTTACCAACTTTAGTATGTTGTTTTTTTACTGTTGTCATGGTTGTGTTTACTGAATTCCCTTTTTGGTTTGTGTATGCTTCCTGTAAGGCTTCTCTCCCCACTTGCAAAAATCAAGGTTGAGAAATTGGATGCTGCTGATGGTGGATCTCCGGCCAGTACTGAGGTGACAGTTCCTTTCGCTATTGGAACTCAGGAAAGTTCAGCTGGTCAGCAGAAAAAGGGATCTGCTAAGAGAAGTTTGTTCCAGGGTTGAATAGGAGGTGAGCACAATTTTGTGTACTTCCATATTCTGGTGTGCCATTGTGACCTGTTTTTATTTTTGTTTGCATCTTCCGCGTTTTCTTTTGAGGATTCAGGTGCTTCAGAATGGCCGCTCAAGACTTATAGGTGTTTGTGCTTTTCACTGTTTGCTGCAGGTGTAGGGGGTGGTCCTTCTGTGGAACGATAATTACATCTCATGGGTGGTGTGCTGGTTTATTTTGTCAAGTTCGTGGTGTGCTCGGATGGACAGCTGGTGTGGAGCATTTCTGAAGGACCCTGCTTTCTTCATCAGTGTGGATCGTTCAATACCTGGAACTTTTGCTATCTTTTGTGTGGGTGTTTTGTGGGTGTTTTGCAAGGGCATGACCTCTTCGCAGCACATATGTGTGTATGGTACACTGAACATCGGTTTATGGTCCATTTGGGTTCATTTGTGATTGTGCAGGGGTTCTTTTCAGGCTTCGGTTTGAAAGAAGGTGTATAGCTGTGTTTGTGGGGAACCCCTGTAGTGTAGCAGGTAGTGCCAATTTGGTGAGGTTAGGTGTTTTGCTATTTCCTGTGTATGCACTAAATCTGTATGACATTTCGCTTCATGTACAATGCCACTGTGCAATGTTATGGTAAGTTTGCCTCCGATCTTTTATATATTGGGTGTTGATTAGTTTTGTTTTGCTAAATTCATTTTTGTGTGCTCTCCTATTGGTTTTGAATTTGAGGAGGAATGTCACGCACTTACATGAAAGTTCCCGCTTGTGGCGCTTTTGTGATCCAATGCAATTCGTTAATGTTTGCAAATGTCTGATTGATGGTGTTGCGCTGTGGAAATCGTTGCGTTTTTTATTACCGCGCACAACTCCCTTGCAACGCATTCAACTCGAGATGGTGCATCACAGTAACTTGCATATTTGGTGCCGTTCTTTCATTTCAAAATTGTGAAACGTATCGTGGCTTGATCGTTTGATAGTTCTTACTTTGCGATTGGGTTTATTTTGCCAGGGGGGGGGGGGTACTACAATTAGCATTTAATGCTTGATGATTACTGAACATGATCGACTGATTGATGTCACTTCTTGCAAAGTGGTTAGCTCGATAACCTGTACATGTCTACTCCAAAAGAGTCCATTAAATACGATTATTGTTGTTGGGCCCACTTTGCTAATATGTCTTCTGATTTTAGAACATAAATAAAACATTCCTTTCTCAACAACTCATTACGCCCTTCGCCTTCTTCTCTCCAGTTTTAAATCATAACTGACAATGCTCTCCCTCCTTAAAGAATTCAATTTCCTCCAGCCAGCATTGAATTCTTCCTCTTGACTCTTTCCCTTCATTACAGATTCGTGTGCTGGTCGCTCATTAAGTTTCCCTATTTGGTGGAAACCGTTGTATTAACTCACCTGATCTTCGTATTCAGGTGAGGTCTCTTAGTCATTTATTGTATCCATGATCTTCGTGTTCCTATTTCTGCTCTTTACATGTATTTGCTCTTCTAAACACACACAAGACTAAAATCCTATCCCCTAATTCTTTATCCGTTGCCTCTGCAGGTAGTCCTTTGCTCAGCATGCCACCACGTAAGAGGAAACAACAATGTCAGCCTTTAAAGTTCAACAGGGTGCACAGTTCAGTTCCAGAGTATGCTTTGTCTGACCAATCAATGCAAGCAGCAGAGTCTCTTTATGCATATGAACATCCAAGTGGTGACCATCACTTTTCACGCACACCTACAACGTGTAGTATCAAAGGTTCGAGCAGCACTCAAAGTAACGATGAACTTCCACGCCCACCTCGAGACCCATACACAAACTTTACACCTAATGAGTCTCATGAACCGGATGTTGTGGTTTCTCAAAGATGCATTCTAACATCTAAGCTTCCTATGCATAATGACGTCTTGGACATAGGCAAGCCAGAGTGTGTGTGCAAGTTCTGTGGTGCCATGTTCTGGTATTTGGAGAGGCTTGATCGGCGTTGTAAAACAGTTAATCCAGTCTATGTGTTATGCTATCAAAAAGGAAGGGTTTCTTTGCCTCTTTTAAAGCAACCGCCGCCATTGTTGGATGATTTGTTGAGGCTAGATGGAGGACCTATGTCCAAGCATTTCAGAGATAACATCCGCCCATATAATGGTTCTCTTTGTTTTACCTCATTTGGAGCTACAATTGACCCTAGATCACTTGCTAGCAGAGGCCCTTATTCGATGGTCATCTGTGGCGAAAACTACCATAGAATAGGTTCCCTGTTGCCTGCAGAAGGTGAGAGGCCTAAATTTGCTCAGCTGTATATGTTTGAGCCAGAAAATGAAATTGATAACAGGTTATCCAATTTCGCTTCGCGTGACTCTCAGCTTATGCCAGAATTGCTGACTTCCTTACTTCACATGTTAGATCAGCACAACGAATTGGTCAAGACATTCAGGCGAATTCGGCAGCAGCTGCAGACCTCTGCCACCCCGAATATGAAGCTCAGAATATTTGGTGCTAAGAGTCAAAACCGGCAGTATGATTTGCCAACCAGCTCTGACATTGCCGCACTAATTCCAGGAGATTTTGTGCCAGACAGAGATGATCGGGACATAATTGTCGATCACATTCACGAAGGCCTGAAGCGCATCACCAGTCTCAATCCTAAGTTCGATGCTTTGCATTTCCGTTTGTTGTTCCCCTATGGAGAAGATGGTTATCACCCACTTATCAAATACAACGCAAGATGTTGTCCTGCATCTATGCGCAGGCAGTTCGTCACACAACGTGAATATTATGCTTTTAGACTGCAGTACCGCCGTCAGGAAGGGCACACGCTGGTGCGAGCAGGCAAGGCACTTCAACATTATTGCATCGATGCTTACTCTTCGGTCGAGCTCAACCGACTTGCCTATTTGCGCTTTCATCAAAAGGAACTTCGAGCAGAAGTCTACCAAGGCTTGCAGGATGCTATGGAACGGGGGGGGCATGGATGGAGATAAGGTCGGGCACATAGTTCTTCCAGGAACCTATGTTGGCAGCCCGCGCTACATGCAGCAACTCTACCATGATGCGATGGCTATTGTTGAGTTCCTAGGGAATCCTGACTTATTTATCACATTTACGTGCAATTCATTGTGGAGAGAGGTCACAGAAGCTTTTGATGGAATCGTGGGACTTAGTAGCGCGGACAAACCGATGGTTATTGCTAGAGTGTTCCACATTAAACTCAGCATCCTGATTGATGATATCAAAAGAGAATCCTACTTTGGAAAAACCCTTGCCAGTAAGTCACGAATTTCATAATTACCTCTTTATATACTTCTCCTCTCCTTTGTTTCGTATTCTCCTCCACTTCTAATTTGTACTTACCTCTACAATACGTTTGCTATCTCAGTTATGTACACAGTTGAGTTCCAGAAGAGAGGGTTGCCACATATCCATCTATTAGTTTGGCTTGCTGAAGAGGACAAGTTGCGAACAACAGCAGATATAGATGCAGTGATATCGGCAGAACTTCCGAACCCTGAGATCGACCCTTTAGGATATGACGCTGTTGTCAAGTACAAGCTTCATGGGCCTTGTGGTGGAGCAAATGCAAACGCTCCATGTATGAGAGACAAGAAAAAATCCAGGAAAGATAAGTGTTCCAAACATTTCCCAAAGGATTTCAATTCAGCAACCACGTTTGACAAGTCTGGTTGTGCTATCTATAGAAGAAGGGACTCTGGAATCCAAGTGCAAAAGGGGAGTGCAATTTTAGACAACCGTCATGTTGTACCATACAACAGAAATTTGTTGGTTCGATTACAAGCCCACGTCAACGTGGAGGTATGTCACAAGGGGAAGCTCATAAAATACCTCTTCAAGTATGTAACAAAGGGCCCAGACAGATCGTTGGTGATTGCTGAGAATCCTGCAACACAAGCTACGGACCCACCAACGCAAGATGCAAGACGCAAAGATGAGATACAACAATTTATCGATTGCCGAACGTTGTCGTCGTATGAGGCTATATGGCGGTTGAATGAGTATCCAATTCATGTTAGAGAACCAGCTGTTGTGCGCTTGGGCGTGCATCTCGATGGCCAGCAGAAAGTCCCCTACAGAAAGCAATCAAGCATTGACAGGGTTCTGAGAGATCCAAATGCGGGTAAGACACACTTGACAGAATGGTTTGCACTGAATTGTAGAGATCCTGAGGCAAGAAGTTTGACATATGCACAGATCCCAAACAAATATACTTGGCTACCTGACTGTAAAGAATGGACTCCACGCAAAAGAGGATTTGGGATTGGGAGGGTTGCGTATGTGCCTCCAGGATCAGGAGACGTGTTTTTTCTTCGTATGTTACTTACGAAAGTTCGCGGATCTCTTAGCTACGACATATGAGGACTGTCAATGGAGAAATATGTCAAGATTTTGAAAAAGCTTGCGATAGGTTAGGCTTCTATCAGATTCATCAGAGTGGGTGAAAGTGCTTACTGAAGTTTCTGCCTCGAGCATGCCACGGGTAATTCGCACTACCTTTGTGTCTATGCTGATGTTTTGCGAAATTCCAAACCCTTTGGCACTGTATGACTCAGCTTGGCGATCTATGGGAGATGATTATGCTTATAGTATCTGCACAACTCTGCCAACTGGAAATAACAGTCCAACTGATGAAAGAATACAGAATTGGGTTTTGCGACAATTGCAACAACTCCTTGGGTCTCACTCATCCACGCTTAATGATTTTGGACTCCCTATCACCACGGATGATGCAGATTCTGATGATGGAGCAAATCCACTTATTAACAACCACCTGGATTTTGATATGAACTCACAGTCAATCTTATCAAGCACTATGTTGGAGTCACTCAACACGGATCAGTTGCATGTGTACTCGGCTATCATAAATTCGATTCATAACAAGTCAGGGCAACCATTCTTCTTATATGGACATAGTGGCACAGGGAAAACATTCCTATACAACGCAATAACAGCGAGGCTAAGAAGTATGTCAAAAATTGTTGTTCTGGTTGCCTCATCTGGAATTGCAGCAACATTACTGCCTAAAGCCACCACTGCCCACTCGAGATTTAAGATACCTCTGACCTTAGACACAACATCAACATGTCCAATCAAGAAAGGTACACACTTAGCTGAGTTGATCGGGGAAGCTTCTCTGATTATCTGGGATGAAGCGCCCATGACACACCGACTGGCCTTCGAAGCTGTGGATCGCAGATTTTGTGATATAATGAATGTTCCACTGAGGGGCTCACTGTACAAGCCTTTTGGAGGGAAGACTGTGCTTTTCGGGGGGGATTTTCGCCAGACACTCCCAGTCATAACAGAAGCATGTCGAGAGCAAACAGTAGATGGTTCTCTTACCAGATCACTCTTGTGGAATTCTTTTAAACTACTAAAGCTATCTAGAAACATGAGGATCACCAATTCAGTGGCAGATGAAGCAAGGTTCATGCATGGCTATACATTCCCAGAGTGGGTGCTTGCTTTGGGAGATGCAAAGCTTAAGACAACATCGTTTAAGCCAGATACTCCATCAGATTGGGTTCAGATCCCGCAGATCTTTTTGGTGGACCATGGCACTCACCCCATTGGCTCCATTACAGAAGACATTTATGACCTGTTCCTACAGAACTACAGGCAGCCACAGTACCTTGCAACAAGGGCAATCATAACTCCAAAAAATACAACAGTGACTGATATAATTCATATATGCTGCAGCAAGTACCAGGCATAACAAAAACATACTACAGTTCAGACTCACTCCAGCAATCAACAGAGACATTTGCTTCATTTGAAGACTGCTATCCAACTGAGTTTCTCAACACACTGACTTTCAACGGAGTTCCTGATCATGAGCTCATCCTTAAGAATTATACACCAATCATGCTTCTACGCAACCTCAACCCTGGACTTGGGCTGTGCAACGGTACGCGTATCATGATAACGTCGTTGGGTGACAATGTTATCCGAGGGACCATCATGGGAGGTTCCAATGACACCGACGATGTTATCATTACAAGAATTGTGCTTAATATCGAAAATTCAAGGTGGCCATTTATACTTAAAAGGCGTCAGTTCCCTGTACGCTTGTGCTATGGGATGACCATAAACAAAAGCCAAGGGCAGACGCTAGACAAGGTAGGTATATACTTGCCTGATCCAGTTTTCAGCCATGGCCAACTGTATGTGGGAGTTTCAAGAGTGAGATCCACCAATGGCCTGAGAATACTCATTGACAACCCTGCTGACATACCAGGAGACTACACCAGGAATATCGTTTTCAGGGAAGCATTCACTGATATACTACAAGCTTAGACTTCCCCTAATGACATGGCCATGTTAAAGTCATGTGTTTTGCGTCCAAATGTGTGCGATAAACATACCGCGTTTGGCATCTTCAATTGTGTGTGATTAAGTTTGTTTGCCTTTTGTAAGTGACAGCAACTCTTTTTGTTGTCTTTTATTGTGAAATGCTCAGGGTGAAGCGAAAAAAGGATAGATATGTGCTATGCGTTTATCATTGCAGTAGTTGGATTTGTTAAACGTTGTCGTGTTGGATTCCTGGAGTTTGGTTCTTCGTAAGTTCTTGAAGTTCATTAAGTACTCTCCCCCATAACTGATCTCTTGAGACATTTGATCCTCATAACAGATATCACATTTTCATCGAGATGTTTATGGCCCACGGAAAGACGTTGGGCCTCGCACGGTTTTTCTACCCAAATAAAACAGAGACCTTCAGTATAGATTCCAAAGGATACAGATATACTTAACCGTGACAGCAGGCCTGTGTACTATAAGGCCCAAAACAGCATTCCGGCCTGTATTTTTTAGGCCCGCGTTCAATTAACCTATGCCCTGTTTGGCCTCCTTCGACGGCACAGTCATTGTTCCAGATCTTCACTGCATCGGCGGTAAAAGCGGCGGCTTTCGACCACTGTCAAAACCCTAGCGCCAAGGTACGTCACTGTCTGGTCTTAAACTCACCACTCACTAGAAAAAATCGCATTTCTCTAATAAAGATTCCTTCGATCTCAGCGGGCCCACGAACTATGGCAGTTTTCCGCCGAGACAACCCATTCGCCTCGCGGGATTACGAGGTCCCCACCGATCCCCAAGGTTCGATGTTTGTGTTTCTATGGGTCTGAATTGGTGCTGGCTTTCGATTACTTAGCAAGACTTTGCCAGAAATGGTAACTCCACTTAGTTTGTTTTTGCGTCTACTGTAGACCCCATTTGTGCTTCGATGATGTTTCGCGGTTTGCGGTTGGGAACCAACAACCGTTCTGTCATAGCCCGACTTCTGAAAACGTGGACAGAAGTCATTGACGGAAAGTTTTGGAAAACGTCAGCACTGCGAATGCTCTGGATGGACAAGAAGGTTTGTTTTCGAATTCCCAGAAAAAAAACCAAATGCTGCTTATGTATAACATTCTTTGACACCCGCTAATCCCACAGAAACGAGTTATTGAAGCTCTGGCATATGAAAGAGACATTGATAGCGTGATGGCGAGGATCAAATTTGGCCGTCTGCATCGCCTAAGCACTATCGTTACAATCCCCTCGAGTAAGAACAGACGCATTGTCCCAGGAGAATTGCGGCTGCTCATGAACTCTGACCAGCTGATTGATGACATTGAAGAAGACCAGAACAATCCTAAGTTTCCCCTCGACTCATTCCTGAACTTCCATTTCTCAGTGGTCCCTGCAAAGTTGACAAGTTTCCACTGCCACGCAGGTAAAACGGTGCACTGTACTTTCACGACCAACACACACTAAATATCCCATAACATCTATGCAATTAGAGATGTCACAGGATGCGTACGCCGAATTACAGTACCAAAGCCATGTCAGAATGGCATGCTTGATTTCCATCTGGTTATTGAAGACTACAGGTATACTAAAGCATGTACCTAAGAGCATTACAACTTTCGACATACGAATAGTTTATATTTTCTTTGTGTTTGCAAAACAGTGGGAACAAGGCTGTTGTGCAGTACTGTGGCTACGATGTCGTTGCTTACCTCCAACAAGCAGCAGATGTAGAGTCACACCTCCCGCTTATAACCACAATTACATCGGTTGTCGCCGTGCCCCATAAGTGTAACGATGATGGTATATATGAGCTGGAATCGACATGCGCCAGTCGCCTGGTTATCAGTGCATACAATGAAACCACTAAAAGAGTCATGAACAGGTATTTGTTATTTTCTAGCAATCTCTTAGGCAATTTGTTAACTTCAAGTTTGCTTCCATTGCAACACCTTATCCTGACATAGACATATATTCGCGGAACTTAGGTTTCTGCCATACCGCAAACCGATCAAGTACATAGTCTTTGGAACAGCTGAAAGGATAGGATACTTACGCTACCCTCGGCCCCCAAGAAGAACACTTGCTCAAATAAAGGAAGACTTGAGTTCAGAACCACAGCAGCGTGAGGTATGTAACGATGCTTTGTAAAATCCCAACATTAAAATATGTGTCATTTGCTATTACTGTGCACTCTAACCTGTCAACAACAATTTTCCTATTTCAGACCCTCTACCGAACCATAATCAAGTTTACTCATGTCAAATACACAGATGACATTTGCAGAACCACCCAAGAAACGCCAAGGTGAGCTTAAATAGTTAAATTGACCCTGTTGCACGTTTGGTAAGGAACGCTTGCATTATTATCAATACAGTTAACGAGTTTCTATCATAACCAGGCTGCATTACCAAATCGAAGCAAGGTGAAAATCTGAATCAGCTGAGGCTGATGTTGTCCTCAATCACGAGGCATCTCTTTCAATAATCTGCATGCTACCGCCAAAGTATCTCAAGCTGAACGAAGATGAAATCAAAGGGCTCATAAAGAAAAACTGCAAGAAGCCCTTTGCAGCAGAGCTATACATTGCATGGCCGAACCCAGGTCAAAGCACAGTGCCACACATCAGGGTTGCGACACTCTGGGATCCCTGTGCTTTCGACGATTGAACAACAACTTCGATCAACTCCATTTTGAATCAGTCAAACTACTACTGATTAACCTCTCTTTGCTGTTTCTGCTTATGCCTTGACATACTTAACAGCACCTTAGGTCGTCTTTTATGATGTACATGTCGTCCCCTGAACATGGTGCACATATTTTTTTGATCTTTGTTGATCTCTCGCTTTCGCATCAACAACTACCACCTGAATTAATCAGGTAGTTCAATCAGGCTGTATCTTTTGTGAATGCTTAGAAAACATTTTGGGAGATCACTTTTGCGTGTGTACCAATATGTCGTTGGCACAAAAGTGCTCATTTAGGCAATTGGTCCTTGCTGTGGCCTTTATGATGTATTAGTTGTTTAGATATTAGAAGTGATGACAACAATTCCCTTGCCTACTACCACTGTTTCACACGTGTAATCTTTGACATTATGATTATTAAAACAGGAATCGCCTATTGTTACGTATTTATTCTTATCGTTTGCTATGGTCAGCTCTTGTGTTTATTGCATATCCTTAGAAATAACATTACTTTGTAGGCCTCGCGTTTATCCAGAACTATGTCCATCATTTATGGTTTTTAGTACCCCATCGGCAACGATCCCTAATGCTCCAATATACAGATTTGATGCTGGAGAAAAAAAAACACCTAAAAAATACGACCCGCTTATTCCATCTGGGCCTTTAGCCCAACACTTATGCCCGGTATTATCCCCTTTCTTTCCTCTTTTCTTTTCACTTCGTCTACCTTTCACCCTTATTTCTGTTGTGCCTGCGTCGTAATTTCCCGACCCTTCTGTTTGCCTCACCAGAAGAATACCGCCACTGCTGTTCCGCCTTTCTCATTCTTACTCTCGCTTTAACCTTCTTCCTCTAATTTCTCACAACAAGGCGATGTCTACTCCTAAGCTGCTTCAAGATCTTAATGGAACTGAGGACACAGAAACTATTCTGAAATTGCGGCTCCTACATGTTTGGGTATCTGACGACCTAGAAAAGCCATATTGCAGCCTCTAGACCGATGCGAAGGTACTATGCCATTTGCTTTCGGTTTTCCTGTTTTCCAGTAACATTCCTGATCCTGATCCATCTCTCTGCCTCGCCTGCTACCTGCCTTCGTAGGGAACATTGATTCAAGCTATCGCCCCATCATATTTAGCTACCCATTTTGGCGATCCTGCAACTAGGCTGTGTATATTTAGTTTCTAAATTCCATATACAACGACCACAAGCGATTCTGCGTCATTGCTCCCATACATTGAATCTGGTTCTTTCTCAAGAAACCATATTTGATAATGTCACCATACTGTCGCCCGGTTTTTGTGCTAATTCATTCGAATTTGCTGTTTACGATTCCTTGTGTTCCTTACCACGCTCAGCAAACCAACTAATAGTTTTGCTTCACAAACTACTTTAAACTCATGGACTCCACTTCAATTTCGCCATTACAGTTGGGGAACTGACTATGTTTGCCAACCACTTCAAATGTAGATGTTGTTGGTAAAGTTGTGTCCGTAGCTGGCCTGTCATGCTTAGTGACATCTGATCGTGCTATTATTAGGCGCAAGCTTGTCATACAAAACGAGAGGTTTTCGATACATTATACTTGTGTACTCTTACATAACTTCATTTATTGTTTTTTGTTTCCTCTTTTTACATCGTCTTTGTTATACTTTTCTTTTACAGGCATGTTCACCTTAATATCACCATTTGTGGCGATGTTGCACGATCTCTAGATGGGGAAGAACTCGCATACCTTGGTCGTTCTGGTTTTGTTGTCCTAGGTGTATGTGGCCTTCAGATTAATGGTGTAACAACAGGTTAGATCGTAGGTTTCTACCTGGCACCTAATGACTAGACTTCTCTACACTATCATGTATTGATGCCTACTTTCCACTGTGTTTCCAAGACGCCATCTTTTTTACCAGCACCCCTGGCACGCGATTTGTGCTAGAACCATCGTGTGATTTGGCAAATACTTTGCGCTCTACGTAAGTTGCTTCCAATATAACTTTTCAACAATTTACTTTTCCTTTAACTAATATTTTCCCCAATGTATAGCTCTCTTGCTGAAAATGATACAATTCAATACTATCCTCCGTGGTTCTCGACCTCTTTTGAAGAGCACCTATTTCAGGATGACAGTACAAAGACAATTCTAGAACTGATCCGCCTTTGCAACCCATCAATGGTTGATGTACGTGCTTCCTACACAAACCTTTCTTTGACAACACTGCATTTCATGCATACATACTAAGATCAAGCATAACACGCTGATTTATTATACCTAACCTATTTGTTTGTCTGTCTACTTTTAACTACACAATTTATGCTGCAGTT